CCCCCACAATAAGGCAATGAGAAGGCTTGGATTCAGTTTGCCTGATAGGGCTTGTAAGCCCCTGCAGGCTCGACCAGAGCATGCGCTGCAGGGCACCGAACACGGGCACGCATCAGCGCCTAAAAACCTCCTCACAACATGGCGAAGAGAGGACCCGGATTCGGTTTGCCTGATTGATAGGACTTGTAAGAGCCTGTGGCAACTCTAGCAAGTAGAGCAGAGTGTGTGCCGCGGGACACCGAAGACAGGCGCGTATCAACGCCAAAAAATAAAAAGAAAGGGGGATCTGTGGGGAGCAATCCGGACTGGACTGAGTTACTGGAATTAGGACTTATTCTATGCATCTGCTCTCCCACAATATGGCGCTGGGAGAGAAGTAAACAGCTTCCGCACAGCTGCCTCCAGTTCAACTAATAAACTGTAGGACTTGCTCCTGATTGGAGGAGAGCAGCGTACTCGGCGTGTGGGCAGCCGAGTTGGGATTGGCGGAGGAGGACTATAAAGGAGGAGAGAGACGGCATGCACCAGGAACATCTATGGGGAACATCTAAGGGAACCCGTGCAGCCCCCGAGAAAGCCGGCCGGCGGTGTGCCGCTCCCCTGCGGAAGTGGGGAATGTGGCCAGGGGGAACTGCCCTTCCACGGAGGTGGAAGGGATAGTAGCCAACCCGGGAAGAACCAGCAGCAAACCTGGGGAGGGCCGAGCAGACGAAAGAACAGCGCAGGGTCCTGTGTCGTTCCTCCACGAAGAGGGGGAGCGACACCCTCATATGCATATAGCTTAAAATTTTGGGAACCAAAATAGAGTTACCTTTTAATTCTATTTTCCACAAACTTTTAAAAAAAATTTCTATTAAAGATTTTTATTTATGTGAGAGGTAGAGTTACAGACATTGGAGAGAGAGACACAGAGAATGGTCTTCCATTGACTGGTTCACTCCCCAAATGGCCGCAATGGCCAAAGCTGGGTCAATCCGAAGCCAGGAGCCAGGTGCTTCTACCACACAGGTGCAGGGGCCCAAGAGCTTGGGCCACCTTCCACTGCTTTCCAAGGCAGTAAGCGGAGAGCTGGATTGGAAGAGGAGCAGCCAGGACTAGAACCAGCACGCGTATGGGATGTCAGCACCGCAGGTGGAGGATTAACTTATTATACCACAGTGCCAGCCCCTCCATAACCTTTTTGAAGTACTCCTATATACTAAATCACAGAATAACTTGATTTTTAAAAAATATTTAATTATTTATTTGAAAGCCAGAGTTACACAGAGAGAGAGAGAGAAAGAGAGAGAGAGAGAGAGAGAGAGAGAGAGAGGTCTTCCATCCGCTGGTTCACTTCCCAATTGGTTGCAATGGTCAGAACTACACTGATCCGAAGCCAGGAGCCAGGAGCTTCCTCCAGGTCTCCCAGGTGGGTGCAGGGGCCCAAGAACTTGGGCCATCTTCTACTTCTTTCCCAGGCCATAGCAGAGAGCTGGATGGGAAGTGGAGCCGCCGGGTCTCGAACTGGCACCCATCTGGGATACCAGCACTGCAGGCCAGAGCGTTAACCTGCTGCACAACAGTGCTGGCCCCAGAATAACTTGATTTTTATATTTTTTCTTTTATTTTATGTTTTGCAGAGTTTCTTTTCCCTATAATGAGCATGTATTGCTTGTTTAATTTACACAGAACACATAGATGTTATTTAAATACATGAGAGAGAACCAAACTTTAATAATGTGTATTTGCTACTATTATATATGCAAAAAATTAATAAAATTACTTATGGGCTGGCATTGTAGAATGGCAGGTAAAGCTGCTGCCTGCAAGAATCAGCATCCCTTATAGCCACTGGTTCATGACCTGGCTGCTCCACTTCCAATCCAGTTCCCTGCTAATGGCCTGGGGAAAGCATCAAAAGATGGCCAGGGTATTTGGGCACCTGCCACCCACATGGGAGATCCTGATAAAACTCCTGGCTCCTGGTTTTAGCCTGGCCCAGTGCTGGCCATTTTGGCCATCTGGGGAGGGAACCAGCAGATGGAAGATATCTCTCTCTCTCTTTTTCTCTCCCTCTCTCTCTCTCTCTCCTGCTCTCTTTCAAAATAAATAAATAAATAAGCCTTTTTTAAAAAACTATTTATAAGGTACCATTCTGGTCCTCATCTCTTTACTTTTTAAAATTTTTTATTTATTTGAGAGACAGAAAGAATACTCCTCTCAGCTGGTTCACTCCCCAAATGCTAATAAAGGTCAGGGCTAAAGCTGGGAGCCAGGAACACAATCTAGTTCTGCCATGTGCCTGGCAGAAGCCCAACTGCTTGACCAATCACCACTGCCTCCAAGAGTCTGCATTAGCAGGAAGTTGGAGTCAGGAGCTGGAGCTGGGACTGGGAATCAAACCCAGGTACTCTGATATAGAATGCAGGTTACTTGACCAATAATCTAAATGCCTACTTACTCATCTCTTTTATTGCTCTTTTAAGATTTATTTACCTATTTACTTATTTATTTGAAAGTCAGAGTGACAGAGAGGTAGAGATAGAGAGAGGGAGAGATCTTCCATTCACTGGTTCAGTCCACAATTGCCCACAACAGCTGGGGTTAGGCCAGGCTGAAGCCATGAGCCAGGAACTCCATCTGGGTCTCCCACATGGGTAGCAGGAACCCAAGTACTTGAGCCATCACCTACTGCCCCGCAGGCACACGATTAGATGGAAGCTGAATCAGAAGTGCAGAGTATCCAGGCTTCTGGACTCAGGACTCAGCCTGGCACTCTGAGGTGGGCAGCAAGAGTCCTAAGCAGCTTAACCCACTGCAACACAACATCTGCTCTCGTCCTCCCTTTTCCTCTTGTCCAGAGGAAAGTGATTTATTAGCTGAAAACTGACACCCATTTAAATTCAAGCCAAATACTCACATTAGGGTAGTACATTAAAGAAATGAAATAACAATCTGTTTACCTACAAATGACACCGGGCCATGGGGCAGTGACTTCAGGCTGCAATCTTAGTTCCTGAGGTCAGCAGAGGGATGTGAGGGCGAGAGGTGGTCCTCACACTACCAACACTCCATACAGGGATTGCAGTGTATTGAGATGCAGTGAAAGAGGCCCCATTTCGAGTGGGAAAAGTACTCCACATGAGGGTTACAACCCAGTCAGCTCCCTGTTCTCCAGTGACCTAGGAAATTTTCTTAAGGAAGACTTATCCTCTGCCATCTCCCTCACACTCATATTTCCAGGTTTAGCGAAACTGGTTTGGAAACTGAAAAGTTGACATGCAAGTGGTGGCCAGAGTTAATTATGGGCTTCTCACTCAGAACAGTGTTCAACAAAGGCGGGAATCATTCCATGGGGTGACTTTCAGAGGTAAAGGGACACAGCATTAACTAGCTGTCAATCACACAGTGAGGAGGATCCTCCACTCCTCCTGCAGACATTGAGCAGAGAGCCTCAGACTGAAATGAGTGCATGGTGAACAGTTATAAATATCCCCTTGAGACAAACACAGACCAAGACTCAAATTCAGGATTGGCAACCAACAAAACAGGCACTTAATGCTGTTTTAGTAGCTCTATATTTGTACTCAGAAAGCTATTCTTATGATGTCAAGTGCTACTAGTTCCCCTTTTAAGATGGTAACATAAAATCTCCGTTTAAAATGAACTTAGTTCAGAGGCCAGCATTGTAGCACAACAAGCTACACAGCTACCTACAATGTAAGCACCCCATTCTGGAGCACAGGTTCAAGTCCCAGCTGCTCAGCTTCCAATCCAGCTCCCTGCTAATGCACCTGGGAAGCAATGGGTGATGATAGTTCCTGAGTTCCTGCGATTCATGTGGGAGACCTGGATGGACTTCCCGGCTTCTGGCTCAGCCTGGCCCAGTTCTGGCCTTTGCAGCCATTTGGGGAGTGAACCAGCAGATGGAAGCTTGCTCTCTCGCGTGCGCTCTCTCTCTCTCTCCCTAACACTCTCATTCTCACTCTGAAACTCTCCCCTTCAAATAATTAATTAATTAAAAAAATTTTAAGTGAATTAAGTTCAGTGAAAGAAAAAATAGCAAGTTTAGAGAAACAGTAGACAAATAACAGTGCAGAGAGCAGGTGGATGTGGCAAGAACCTTCAAGCTGATATACGATAAATGGAAATTGAGAGAACACTTAATGAAATAATGATTTAAAGAGTTACTATGTCCTTGGACTTTCTGAAAGACAAAGCTCCAGAGCCATTCACCTCTAACCCCTCCCCTAGAACATCATATAGCACCTGGGACACAGTGGATTTGCTACAAACACCCAATTACCTGGGAATAGATTCTTATCATAAAAATGGAGCCTAAACCCCAATTCCTCCTGGCTCCAAAAACAACTTATGAGCAGATTTCTCCAGGAAGCCAGAAGTGGGATAAACTGAATCATCAGGAGCTACAGTCATTAAGAGAATACACCCTGAGAAGCTCTTTGAGTAAAACAGGATACTATTTGCATATGGTCCATCAGAAAATAAGTACAAAAAAAAAAAAAAAATGAAAGAAGCAACAAAACGTAGCCACACCAGCTGCACAGCTTTGTTTAGCCTGACCACAGTACAAGTATTCTTCCCAAAGAACTAAAAACTCCCAAGTGGAGAAAAGGGCTGCCTTGTCATGCCAGCTGTTCCTCAGAAGAAGTTAAATTCAAAACCAGACAGAATGTTCGCATTCCTCAAAGCCTCTGTAGCCAGGGAGCATTTAAAGAAGTCGCACAGATAAGTTGATTTGGATGATTTAGTAGCTCTGATTAAAAATCCAGAAAACGGTTTAGCGCATTTGGAACCATAAACACTTAAAAAGAAAGCAGCTTTTAAAAACTTAGCAGTCTCTTCAAACAAAGACAAGAAATGTTCTTAAAGAAGTTGCATGATTAATATGAAAGTCTCAAAAAGTTTCTTTCAAAAGACATGTTTAAAACATGCACCCACCCAATAACCTCAACGGAGACAGGGGAACATCAATGTAATTTTGATTCTGCCAAGATTACCAAGCATAAAGTAGCAGTCTCCTTGGTGAAGGGGTATGGCTAAGCCAGGCGTCTCTATGTCCCACGAGATCTTGAAGCCAACATGCCAAATGTCAGGATCTCTGCCTTCGAGATTAGAATCATCATCACTTTCATCATCAGGACCTGTCAGAAGAGAAGTGATCAGAAAGGAAATGTTTAAACTTGTGTATGTTACAACAGGTATATTAGAAATAACGGATATTTTAATAAAAGACATACGTTTAGTGAAGTATCTCCTTTTTGTCATTTTCTTTTCTAGTATATTTTTAGGGTGTCATTTATTTTTTCATCAAGGAACCTTCAGTAAAATTGATAAAGAAATAACCACTGACACAGAGGAAGACAAAAGAATATGATTTTGTTCAATTCCATCCAAGCAAATACTTAGGAAATCTGAATGAAATGCATAGTTTTTAGGAAGATATTATCAAAATTGAACCACAAAGTGGTAGAACAGCTTTCAAAAAAAAATGGAAGGCATTGAAGAAATTATCAAAGAATTCTCCCTCAGGAAAACATAGGCCCAGAAAGTTTCACAGGAGAACTGTGCTAAACAAGGATGCCGGCACCGCAGCTCACTAGGCTAATCCTCCGCCTGTGGTGCCAGCACCCCGGGTTCTAGTCCTGGTCAGGGCGCCGGATTCTGTCCCGGTTGCTCCTCTTCCAGGCCAGCTCTCTGCTGTGGCCCGGGAGTGAAGTGGAGGATGGCCCAGGTCTTTGGGCTCTGCACCCGCGTGGGAGACCAGGAGGAAGCACCTGGCTACTGGCTTAGGATTGGCGCAGCGCGCTGGCCGCAGCGCGCCAGCCATAGCAGCCAATTCAGGGGCTGAACCAACGGAAAAAGGAAGACCTTTCTCTCTGTCTCTCTCTCTCTCACTGTATAATTCTGCCTGTCAAAAAAAAAAAAATTAAGGAATGGGAATTTCAATGCATTTTTAATTGATTTAGAACCCTGAAAAAGAAGTTTCCAAATTCTTCCCATGAAAATACAGCAAGTATCAAAACTCAAAAAGAAAACATATACATATGTAACACAGTCACATCTGAAAATCAATGCAAACTTCTTAAATATGGAAAAAAGAATCAAAATCTAGCAAAATAATATTCTGTGACCAAATAAATCTTATCCCAGGAATACAAGTATGGTTCAATATTTAAAAACTTATACTTAAAATTCATGATATTCACAGATCAAAACAAAAAAAATTGTGAGTCATCACTCCGGTGACACAAAAATACTTTATTAAACAAAACATTCTTTTATTATCAAAGAAAAACCTGAATAAAATAGGAATGTCTATTTCTTCAATACGATAAAAGATCTGTTTCAACCTCAAAACCAGCATTATATTTTAATAGGAAAATTTAGAAACATTCCCAAAGTTAAGAACTAGACAAAGGGAGCAGGTTTTTGCCTAGCAATTAAAACACCTATGTCCTACATCAGAGTGCCTGGTTCAATTCCTGTCTCTGGCTACTGACTCCAGCTTTCTGCTACTGTAGACTCTGGGAGGCAGCAGTGATGGCTCAAGTAACTGGATTCCCAACACCCATGTGAGACCTCAGCTCCCAGCTTCAGCCTTGCCCAGCCCCAGCTATCGCAGGCTTTTGGAAAGCAAACTAGTGGACAAGGGAGAGCTCAGCACTGGCCCCATAAAAACTTTTAAAAATTCACTTCAGAAATATTTATTGAGGGCTTACTATTTATCAGGCACTGTGCTAGGCACTTAAGATTTAATGATGATGCAATAAAAGAGCTATCCCCGTGTGGAGCTTTTCTCTTTGTGGGACTGTGAATGTTCATCTCTAGTTACTAGTAAGAGCATATTTTAAATTTGAATCCCGTCAGGCTTGAAGCTGCCCCATGAGGGTCTGGTCTTCAAGGACAGGGTCCATTTTTTCCATTTCATCCACTTTCAGAGCCCTAGTGACTAGAACGTAGAAGGCATCAATGAACACCGGTACTAAATGGCTTGCTGAAACAAAACGTGCTGTCACTTGACACCCTTCACAGTCCCTGCTATGCTAGATGGCAGGAAAAGAAAATGGTGATTAGGAAGAAAAAAAGAAATATATGTCAAATCCAACCAGTCATGACTGATTTGTTGCCTGCGGGTGTTTTAAGCCCTGGTGGAGAATAATTCTGGAACTTTTGCCAGGCTCGGTAAGAAGGGTGTGATCAATGACCAGTGTCTGTCCTGGGCACACGAAAGGTTAGTGGCAGCACCAGCGCCAGACAGTTGCTATCTATTCTGACAGCATTCTGTGGATAGCTCTTACTTACATGAACACAGTTACAAATACCAGAATTTGCTAGGGTTTGTGGACTAGGAAAGAAATTTCAAAGGTGTGTAGCTTGACCTGCACTATATTTCCTTAACAAATCTCAACCAGTTGCCAACTGATAAAAAGCACTCAGCACAAAAATCCAAATTCGCAGTTATTCCTAAGCAGTCACAGGTGTCCACAGCTGAAGCACCTGCCCCTCTGGGATAAAGATCATTGTGTCTGCTCATCAGAGTCCCAGGCAGCCACTTCATCTCACTCGTTAGTTAGGGGTACAGGCCCAGATCCTGCAGCAAAGGCTGTGAACCTTGCTCTAGAGCTGGGTCATACAGCCCACAGGCAAATCAGACCCATGACCTGCTTTTGTAAATAAAGTTTAACCAGAACACAGTCACACCCATTCATTTACATATTGTCCATGGCTGCTTTTACACAGAACAGCAAAGTTAAGCAGGTGAGAATGCAGAGTGGAAGACCCACACAGCCAAAACTATTAATTATCATGCTAAGCCCCTGCTCTAGAGACTTGATATTTGTGATCTGTCAGAGATGTCTACTGCACATATTAGCGAAGAAGCTGGGGATGGATAAAATAATAATGACGTAATGTCAGTAATACTTAATAACATGACTAACAATAGTATACAACATAATAAAGTAAGGCTAAATTAGTTGATAATCCAATCAATCTAGCAAAAGACCACTGATAAGGAGAAATCCTATGTTTCTATTTGTGATCCTCCAAAGAGACCTAATTACCTAATTTCTATTTGTGATCCTCCAGGGGGCCCTAATTACCATAGATGTAGCAAATAACACATGAAAAAGGGGAAGGGGGTTAAAATTCCAGAGACAAGGGTTTTTAGATGCTCTTGATGCCACTGAGTATGGGCAGCCCAATGTGTGGCAATTTTTATAGGCTAATAGGCTGGTGGACTACTTTCCCCTCTAACTTGGATCCTGGTGCTGTTTTCAGTCTGGCACCAATGAAGTTCTGAACGACAATCACCAATCACGGACAGCAACTGCAGTCAGGGTTTCCTGGACTGCCATAAATCCAGCACCTTTGAGAGGTGCTCATTAAAATTATGTTTGTTTTCCTCATCTTGGGCAAAGAAGGGAGGAGGGAAGTTTACATCTGATAAATGTTTTATTGTTTAAATACAGTGCTGCTCATGTTCTCAATGACGTAAGCTTGTTATTATCTATGGCTAATGCAACTGATTACTATTGCCCCATGTTCTTTCAATGGCAAGCAGAAGCAATAGGTTCCTTACCTGCCTTTAAGCCTCGGTAAAACTGGGAGGATCTAAGTGTCTCTCTGTGGTGCATTCTCAGCTCCCAGTAATCAAACTTAAACTAAAACATGTGGCAAAATGCAAAGACTACTAAAGTTTGGGAGACACATTTATATGTACAAAACTTCTTTAAAAAGTAATGTTTTTATGATAATTAGCTTTGAGAAAAAGTACTTTTATTTAATTAACAAATTATAAGTGACATCGAATATTCTGTTTATATTTTTAAAGCTGTATGCAATCATTGTTATAAGGAAACAAAGGCAGAAGCCTCCAATTACAGCACAAATCAAATAAATGCATCACAAAAGCTTTTATACCATACTTAATAATATATATAAAATTGTCAATAATTTCCCTCTCATATAAGTACGTATTCATTAAAAAAAAAAAAAGCCCTGCTGTTATCCTCTAGTTTCTATTCCTTTAGCCAAGTGCTAAGATATATAAAACCCTGACCTTACAATTACCCTGTTTTTTTTTGTTGTTGTTGTTGTTGTTGTTTTGACAGGCAGAGTGGACAGTGAGAGAGAGAAAGGTCTTCCTTTGCCGTTGGTTCACCCTCCAATGGCCACCGCGGCCGGCACACTGCGCTGATCCGATGGCAGGAGCCAGGTACTTATCCTACTTATCCTGGTCTCCCATGAGGTGCAGGGCCCAAGCACTTGGGCCATCCTCCACTGCACTCCCTGGCCACAGCAGAGAGCTGGCCTGGAAGAGGGGCAACCGGGACAGAATCTGGCGCCCCGACTGGGACTAGAACCTGGTGTGCCGGCGCCGCAAGGTGGAGGATTAGCCTAGTGAGCCGCGGCGCCAGCCCTCTCTGTTCTCTTAACCTCACATGTAGAGGGGCTTCAGTAGCAAGCCTCTTCTATCCATGTCACAAGCTCAAGGCAAGAGAAATGCAGACGCTCAGCTGTTACTACTGATGCCTTATCTGCCCATGCTGATCTGTGATATTCCAGCGTCCGGAATGAGGAATCCATTTTTAAAACAGGAGGGAGGGGCCGGCACCGCGGCTCACTAGGCTAATTCTCCACCTTGCGGGGCCGGCACACTGGGTTCTAGTCCCGGTCGGGGCACCGGATTCTGTCCAGGCTGCCCCTCTTCCAGGCCAGCTCTCTGCTATGGCCAGGGAGTGCAGTGGAGGATGGCCCAAGTGCTTGGGCCCTGCACCCCATGGGAGATCAGGATAAGCACCTGGCTCCTGGCTTTGGATCAGCGCAGTGCCGCGGCGGCCATTGGAGGGTGAACCAACGGCAAAGGAAGACCTTTCTCTCTGTCTCTCTCTCACTGTCCGCTCTGCCTGTCAAAAAAAAAAAAAAAACAAACAAAAAAAACAAACAAAAAAAACAAAAAAAAAAACAGGAGAGAGACGGGCAGTGAAGGGAAAGTGTGAAATTGGAGGAACATGGCATGGGGTATGTGTAAGAACACAATCAGTTCTAGGTTGCATAAGTGTTCAATGAATGAGAAGAGGCCGGACAGATGGGCAGAGACCAGGTCCCGGACAGGCGGTGAACCATGGAACGAAATCTA